GGATGGTTCAGGCTGCTGAATCACTCGTCCAAAGAAGTCCTTTTTGGCAGTGGGCTGAAACCATAAAAAACAAGTTCAGCAAGAACTGCATTCCAGATGTATTTTAGGCCAGTATTTAACGTAATCGCTAAAATAACAGCGTTCCAAACGTGTAACCTGAACTGTAGTTACAGCTAGCCCATGTAACCCGTTCTTTTTGGAACCGTCTAATGAAACAGAAACAGTTGCAGCAGTTCCAGTAACTATTTGCCAACGGAAAATATCTTGTGTGTAGTTGCGTGTTGCCTTGATGATTGTGTATCACTTTTCGTGTATAAGAATTACTGTTGGGTTCTCCAGGAACCAGCGAAAATGTGTTTAGTTGCTGCGATTATATAAGTCAGCAATTTTAGTCTTTAAGTATTTAGTTTCTTCACATTCTGTAATAAACATCAAAAAAGGGATTTCTCTCAAGAAACTTAGCTCGGGAGTTTTATGTCCATAACCAACAGCAAACTAACCAAAATGTGCACTTGCATATGAGCTGCAAGCAAACTATGTGTCAAGCTGGCCATTTAAATATAAATTCAGTCAGAGATGAAATGAAAGTTATTTGAATAGTAATCAACGTTATAAGGTCGACATATTTTTTATAATTTTTTTGTGGTGGTACCAAAATTCAGTCGAGTAATACTTCGTCCAGGTTTGCCAAACACGCATTTCTGTTTGTTGTTATTGTGGATTATTAAATGTTATTGTGAAACGAAATGAAAGAGAATATTTTCTAAAGCGGGTGCTATCATAAAGGCGCGAAGAACTCATTTTTAAAATGATATGTTTAAACATTTTCGCGTATAAACTGTATACTTTATTTAATCACTCTAGTTTAATTATTATCAATTTTTTGTTCTTAAGTAGTAACCTGTGACCCATGTTTTGTTTTTGATTGTAGAATATTTTATATATTATCACTATTTCTACTAGCATCATTCTGCATTTTTAATGAAAAATTTAAAAAGTAACAGGTTCCTTTTGGAACCGCATGTTGAAACCTATTACCAAAGTGGAACTGGAACGTTGTAACCCGTTACAGAAAAATAACAGTTTGTCACACCTCTAAGATGTAGACTACAACATAGAGATAGCTGCGCACGTTACAACGCTTTACGTGTTATCGAACCATCATTAAGATTATAAATTAAGCAACTGTCCAGCCATAAAATTAATAATCATCAATAAAACATTATCAATTTTCCACGGTCGTACAATCGATTAAACCCCATCGCACACGTCTATTGCGAAAATGAAGAGCCAAATTGTGACATTATCTCTGCTGGTTTTCTTTGGTAAGTAACGCTAAACGATCACAGACCAAAATTGTGTAAATGCTGCTTGTTTTTTAGGGTCGGCTGATGCCGATGGCCCTAATGCAGGCCCGCAAGATATGAACAAAAAAATCAAGCATATTGCTAGAGGAATTGTGGACAAGTGGGTCGATGAGGGCCTCACAGTGACTCGCGAAAAAGTGGAACGTTGGATCAACATTGTGGACGAATCGCAAGCCAAGGCAAAAGCGGAACAACAACGAAAACAGCCTCAGAAACCGCCGGCGGATGGTTTGGGCGACGATTTTAATCAAGTGAAAGACACTCTGGTGAAAACGTTCACAAAAATCGGTCAAGTGCAGTGCACCGATTGCAAAAAGCCTAGCGAAGCCCAAAATTCAGCTGCCGGCGAAGATCAGCGCTTGGAAGCGATGAGCTTGGAGGAGCTGGAGGAGAAACAGGAGCTGATCAGGAGGTTTGCACAAATGAGCAAAATGGCGCAGCTAGCGAAGCTGGCTGGCAGTTTTCAGAATCTAGGAAATCTGAAAAACATGGTGCAAAACAGCCCGCAACCGGACTCAGTCCCATCTAATCACGAAGAACTGTAAAATTGGAAATAAATTCTGGGGTTTTTCAGTTGTTTGCTGCTTTTGCCTCAGATGTAAAGCTTGAGGGTTGAAATAATGCTCAGAACTCAAAAGCCATACTGCTATTTCCTTACAGAATTCTGAGAAAACTCGAGAGGTTTTAATTAAAATGTCTCAAACGTGTGTTTTATATGTTTCATTCTGGAGTCATGTTCATTTTCAAATACCGGGTGTTTGGAAAATCTTCTATCATTATTTTAGCGTGAAAGAGATCAGATTTAAAATTCAAACAAACTCATAATTGGTAAACATTACGTTCTTTTATTTGTCTCTAAAGGACAAAGTTTCGGCGAGACAACAGCGCCATCATCAGATTTAAAATTCACACAAACTCATAATTGGTAAACATTACGTTCTTTTAGGTCTTTGCCTAATTATGAGTTTGTGTGAATTTTAAATCTGATGATGGCGCTGTTGTCTCGCCGAAACGTTATGAAATAAACAGTATTCAAATATAGGATAAGAATATAATAACAAGTACACGCAGTCAGGAAAATAAATCAGAATTAAAAGTTGAGCCAAATCGATTTTTACTCGCAACTACACTGATTGAGAGTCACCTTTCTGCAGAACTCAGTGAACATTCGAACATTCAGTTGTAACTTACTTCATCAATCAAATTGCTGAGGTTTCGAGCTCTTAAACGCGTTTTTCCACACATTTTGCATCTTCAGATGCAGGCAACGGTAACACAGTGTTGAGTTATAAGAAAACAAAGACGTTTTAACTCATCGCGTCTCACTGCGCCGCACTTTGAAATTGCCAGATTAGTACAGAAAAGGATTGGCTGTCAGACAAACAGTCAGATCAGCAAATTTGGTTCCTCCACAAGAAATTTTCAAACTTGAAACAAAATGCAATTTTTCAAAATGATATTCCGAAATTAGGGCCAACTGTTATGCCTTCTACAAGAATGCCATCAATAAACAAACTGAAATCGAACTGCCAAGCATGAATCATCGAAAGGGCGAGCAATTAAATGATAGAATAATTAATGGGTAGGACTTGGAGGATGGGGCGCCAGCTTGCAAAAAGCTGGTAAGAATGTAACGAATTATGCTATCAACATTTTACATCAAGCTCATTCTGAAGCTTTAGATGTGGAAATTTGGGTTCCAGTGTTCAATACAAGAAGCATCAGCTCACTGATAATCTGGATTTGGTTCCAATTGAACCATTGGTTTCTTCACAAGAAATTTTCAAAGTTTGAGAATACTTTGGGTGGCTTTGGATTTTTACATCTCAACTCAGGCTCATCTGAAGCTTATCGAAAGAACCGTTTCAGACAATGCAAAGATGGGTTCCAGTTTTATGTTTTTTGTTAAAAAAGTCAAGAGTTTTGCCTGTGTTTTTTAAGGCGAAATCGACTAAAAAATGACGCCCCTTTTTTGACGTTGCTCAAGAACCATTTGAGCCACAGAGTTCGTTTTTATATCATGGGATAGAGGGAAAAATTTGAATATCAGACATTTAGGTGTAAGTTTACGCGAAAATTTCATTTAAAAAAGCGTCTTTTACAGAATTTCATTTTTTTACTGAATAGTCTGCAGTTGCGTAAAAGCGTTCATTTGCAAATCGGCATTAACGAGCCTCGCAAAATCGAGGATTTGATGCGATTTGAATGCATTTTCGCAGGTCTGAAGGCATTTTGCCGACCTTTAGAGCGCACACTTCTATACAGAAAGCACAACTCTGAATTTGGAGAATATTTTTCGTTTCTAACTCATGGCGTTTCACGGTGCCGCACTTTGAATCACCGAACAGAAAAACGGTCACTACATTTTTTAGGAGCAACATTTTGCCAATTTGCCAAAATTAAATTTTAACACTAAAAAAAGGTGATTTGCTTGCAATTTTGTGCAAATTGTTACCCACGTTTAAAAGCTCGAAACCTCAGCAATTTGATTGATAAAGTAAGTTACAACTGAATGTTCGAACGTTCACTGAGTTCTGCAGAAAGGTGACTCTCAAATCAGTGTAGTTGCGAGAAAAATCGATTTGGCTCAACTTTTAATTCTGATTTATTTTCCTGACTGCGTGTACTTGTTATTATATTCTTATCCTATATTTGAATACTGTTTATTTCGTAACGTTTCGGCGAGACAACAGCGCCATCATCAGATTTAAAATTTACACAAACTCATGATTGGTAAAAATCAACGTTCTTTTAGGTCTTTGCCTTCT